GTTGGGGCGGCGGCAGCCAGGGTGCTGTGGTCAGTGCGCTTGTTTTGGTTGCAGTGGTCTTGGGGGTTGGGCGGCTTTGGGGTAACTGGGCCAGGAAGGAGCAGAACAAGAAAATACGTACTAAAAAGTCCTGCTAGTTGAAAACTGAATACTATGCATGAGGGGATTCAGAGACCTCCCACCTCCCCTTCTTTTCTCTCCCTTCTTCTGACCCCAGGAGTGTTTTGAGAAGGGCTCTTTGGGGGGGCGATGAGGAGCAAAGGAATGTGAGGTGGGATGGTGAGGAAAATGCCTCCCTCCCACCCACCCAGAAAGAAGCGTGGTCCCTCAAAAGGACAGGGGCTGCCCTGCTGCCCTTTCCCCGGGAGCCAGGTAGCCATCTCTGTCTCCTGGGGTAGGAAATGATGTTTGTGATTCACAGGTATTTCATCTTTCGCCTCCTCTCCTTCGAAATGCAGAAACTTCTTTGGGAAAAGAGGGGATTCCGCGGATCCACTTTTCTTGGGGCGCCTTTGGGCATGAGGGTGAGGGGCAAAGCCAGAGGGTGAGGACACGCGCCTGGCTGTGGGCCCTGACCAGAGCACAGGGAAGCAAGCGGCAGGCTAGAGGGTGACTCTCACGGAAACAGGTTGTGCCAGCATCAGCCTGCGGTGGGAATCCGGTGTGAAAAGTGAGGTTTATAGTGATAACTTTCTGCAAGTTCCTAAGCAGAGGAGTGGGGACTAAAGATGGAGAAGCGGAGACCTTGGGAGGGAAAAGCAAAAATAGGTGAGACTACTCCATGCGAGTCCCTGGGGGGCATTATGGGACTTGTTTACTTAAGGTGCTTCCCTGGGGTGGGCAGACCGGAACCAGTCCCAGATGGAGCCCTGGGGCCAAGGGATGGGAGGGGCTGCTTTTGTGTGGGTCTCTGGTCTAGAGCTGGGATTAGAAGCTGGTTAGAGTGCTCCTCTTCTTATCCCAAGAGGAGTCAGCCAGTGAACCTGGGGGACTCTGTCCTTCTCTTTTCTTCCACGGGTAACCCTTTATCCCTAGAGACAAGCTAACTTCCTTCCCTCTATCTGTTGATGTATTATCAATCAGTAATTAGTAATGAGGCGAATCTGACCAGGGACTCAGTGGAATCAAGGCATTCCCACATTGGGTGGCTTGTGATATTTTTAATGGCACACACATCACACATACTCACTCATCACAGAGCCTTAGTAACATTAATCCCAAAATATTTGCTTTTCTCATGATTATATTTCTAACATCAAAGTGTTTCCCCCCCAATACCTCAGTGAACGTATTTTGGCACACAGATACAGCTCCCAATGCTTTCTCACGGAAACACGTAGTAGTTTCATCACAGGCTTAAGGAAACTATAATTTAGCCAATCCTGATCTTTGGAAAGCTGCCCCATGATTTGCTAGATGATCTACTAAATGATGCTTCTCTTTGTATTTCCGGTCCCCCCCCCAGGTGATGTTTCCACTGGCTTCCCCCCTCCCAACAAACCCCCATGCCTGTGTGACAGGCAATCACCAATTACATTCACTCTCAAGGTTAATGAGACATCAACAGGCACATCAGATCTCTTTTTACCTGGACTGTTTCTCTCCTATTTGACTTTGATCTGTTCAAGACAGAAAACTGTATTATAAGAGAAAGTTGGAGAGAGGACACTGGCTTTGCATCCCTGTCTAAAGGGCAACTTTAAAGGACAACAGTCCTGCCAGTGAATTGTTTTAAGAAATGGGGTGCTTTTTCATGTTCTAGGTGTCTGGGAAAAATCAAAACCCAGTGGAATAGTGCTCAGAACTGATTTCCAGCAGCTGGCTCTCTGGTCAAATAAATTCAAACAGCTTATAAAAACACAGACTTATGACACTGAGGGGATTGCCTTTGATTTTATGTATCCATTTTTTTCTTTCTACATCCAACTCCTACATTTGGTAGGTATGGAGCCGAAGGACAGAAAAACGGACCTTCAGTAGTCATGGTAATGTAAAGTGTGAGAATGAGCGCTTCTTTTCTTTCTTTTTTTCTATTAGTGACATGATGAAGACGTGTCCTTTACAAAAGGTGTCAGGAGTGGGAGTCACTGTTTCTGCCCTTACTAGTGTTATGCTGATACTTGGTTGCTGGCATCAAGGACAGCAACTGACAGTTAACATTGTACACAACACCAGCCAGCCCCTGCCTGGTTTATTGCACTGCATTAGAAGTGAATTGGACAAAGCAGAGATGGCTCAAGGTTTTTTCAGGCCCCACTGGGAAACTAGAGGAAGTGACTTACAGGACCATGTCCTTCACTCCTCATAGCGTTCTTGGTGGTACCTCAGATTCACATCAGATACCCACTGCAGGCTGATTCAATGAAGGAGACTCTATTAGTCTGGCTACTTTCTGATCTAAAACGGACTGGACTAGGATGATGACAAAAAATAAAAACCCAGGTTGCTTTTTTTAAAATATAATTGAGAGTATCACAGAAAAAAAAAGAATGCACATTTGAAAAGCCAGCTAGCTGATCGGATTTGGAGGAGCTTTCTGAAATTTGGGCAAGGGATTTATGATTGCCATCCTCTGACCGTGCCGCATAGAACTGAGCCCCAAACTATGAGAGGGGTGACTCTCCCTCACAGTGGTTTCCTCTGCAGGCTGTGTGGCAAACATGTCATTTTGGATGAAAGTGAATAGCCTGATGGCGCTGCTAAGGGATCCACCATTAATTTCTGAACCTCTTTAAATAAATGTTGATCTTCAAAAGTCTTCATTTCACTAGAAGATTAAATTTAGCTCATTATCATATTTTAACAGAAAATACACGATGTTTCTCTCAGAGCAAATTTCTGGGTAGGGTCTCACGAGCTTTAATAGAGATGTTTTTTCTTAATCATCTAAAATGAAGTACAAGAAGGTCTTGTTGATAATTGTTCTGGGCTGTGATCAAGACGATACTTGATTTATTTCAGAGTCATCTGCAGACAGTGAAGAACCGGTTCAGTCCACTCTTTCTAATGATGCTATCGTCTTTATAACACTTTATAAAATGTAAACATCAGGATGTTTAGATACAGTAAGTGCCTCGGGGTAGGCAGGAAAGCGCTGCAATTCCATTTTACAAGTGCGAAAACTACTCTTTAAAAATTAGCTGATTTGTCCATGAAAAAAGACAAAGACAGAGCCAGGACTAGGACCCAGGGTGTTTGACTCCCAGCACAGTGCTCTTTTCACTATAATGTACTGCCTTCCATACGATAAACTACTTGAATGATTTAAAATGTACATTTCTGTTACACAAATGAAGGATATTTGACCAAAGTCTCGTACTCATCCCATACAGTTGTTCTTAACAGTGGGTAGGGGATCATAAGAACACTAGAGGCCCGATGCATGAAATTCGTGCAAGAGTAGGCCTTCCTGCTTTGGCTGGTGTGGTTCAGTGGATAGAGCACTGGCCTGCAGACCAAAGGGTCCCGGGTTCGATTCCAGTCGAGGGCACATGCTTGGGTTGTGGGCTCGATCCCCAGTGTGGGGCGTGCAGGAGGCAGTCAATCCATGATTCTCTCTCATCATGGATGTTTCTATCTCTCTCGCTCTCCTTTCCTCTCTGACAGCAATAAAAATATATTTTAAAAAAGAGTAGGCCTTCCTTCCCCTGGCTGCCAGCACCGGCTTCCCTCTAGCACCCGGGACCAGGGCTTCCCTCTGGCTGGTGGCAGGCACTCAGGACAGTCCGGAAGGTCATCCAGAAGCACATCTGGTCTAATTAGCATATTACACTTTTACTATTATAGATTCTCTTGACCGATTCTTCCTGATGTCAATGAAAAGCCACAGAGTGTTGGGCAAAAGTAGGCTTCCAGTGTTAAGTATCTGAAACAGAGTTTATCCTTGTGTTATTATGTATTAATTATTGTGTTACTTTTCATTTGAACAACTGTAAACCTACGTTGGCCCCACCCTGTACAGAAACTCTGAGTGCCCGAAGTAAAACACAAAATATTTATGAAGAGCGCTATCCAAAGATAGAAATATCGAATCTTTTACTGAAAAAAAAAAAATCTCTGGATGAGGAACATGGCAATTTGAAGTTTGAGCGCTGTTCACTGGCCGGGTTCAATGATTCAACTCTAGTGCCTCACACAGTCCCTGGTGCCTCATGGACCCTCAGCAAATACTTATCAAATGGGCCAGCCCTGGTTTACTCAGACCTTATGTGGTGGGTCAAGAAAATTCCCCAGAAACCACTTTAACATAGATTTTCAAAATGACCTTTTTATTTTTACAACTTTGCTGGCAGTTGATAGGCTTCTCTCTTTCCAAGAAACCATTTTTTTCTGTCCTTGTTAATCTCTGTATATTTCAGTTTTGAAATTGGATAGGTTCTTTGTAGGATTTTTTCCCCCCAGACGGAGGGAGGCGTTGAAATGCAGATGTATTTCCACTTACTGGGGAATGTCATTTTGTTCAAATACCGAGTTTCTATTTTATTGAAACTTTTTATGTTTTCCAAGAAGGGCAGAATAATTGCTAGCTCAGGGTCACGGAGACCTGGTAGCTGCATCAGGATCCCAGTTTTTCCAAATACGACCTCAGCACTTCCCATCATTAAGGGACTCGCCAACATTTCCCTGCAGTATAAGGATCAGCATACACAAGACTATTTTCAAGATTAGAAGTTTTTACATTTTTAAAAACATATATCACGACAAAAACAAAGAAAAATATGAGGTGGAGATGGCGTGTGGCTCTCAAAGCCAAAAATGTTGACTCTTTAGTCCTTTACCTGAAGAAGTTCCTGTCCTGTATTCCAAACCTTGTTTAACTAGGACATTTTCAAGTA